GGCGGGGGCGGGGGGGCCCTTCCCCGCCCTCTCCCTGGAATGGCAGCCCCCCCTGCCCACTGCGGGTGGGCAAGCACCCGGTGCCGGGCAGGGGGGGTCCTTGCGGGCAGGGGTTGTGTAAGGACAAGGCACCCTCCCTCCCGCTCACTCACCCTTCTTCTTGAAGAAAGCCAGAAGCGAGGAGAGGTTCCTGCCCATGAAAACCACCATGGTGGCCGGGGAGAGGGTCTGGTCCCCGCAGGAGCCGGGGCTCCGCCGCCCCCCACGGAGGCTCTGCCTATTGTGCCGGGGCAGCTCTCGCCCAGCCGTGTGCCAGCAAGGCGGATGCCGGCAGCCCCCAGCTGCTTCTCTCCGTCCTCATCCGCACGGCGGGAGGATGCTCAGCCGGGCAAAGAGGCTCCGGCGCAGCTGCCTGCGCACGGGGAGAAGCCTGACCCCGGGGATGGCTGCGCAGCGGCAGGAGGGGACAGCCCCAGCTGCGCCCACAGTGCTCCTCGGTCACGGAAGGAGGAGAGCGGGGGCCCCTCCTCTGGCCTCCCCACTCACCCCTGGCCCTCCCGCCTCCTCCCACACACGGCACGGCCGGCAGGGATCCGTCCTGCCAGGCTGAGGGCCAGGATTTCCCCAACGCCTCCCTCTTGTACCCCTGGGACACACACACACCCCCCCCAGGACCTTTCTCGCCTGCTCCCCGCTGGGCACAGCATCCCCGCAAACCAGTTGCTCGCTTCCACAACAGTGCGGCCAACTGGGAGGAGCTGGGAGGCTTTTCCTCCGGCGAGCACCGGCCCTTGGGGCACAGCGCAGCTGACGGTGCCGGTGTTCCCCCTCCTCGTCTGTCCCTGGTGTCCCCCAGGACCCGGTGCCCACTGCAGCCCCCCCAGCCCTGCCGGGGAGAGCCCCTGCTCCTGGCACGGCTCAGCCCGCAGCGGGAGGACGCGAGCCATCACGGGGCAAAGGGCGTTCGTCCTTAAGGACGGGGCGTCCAGCACAGCTATGTCACAGTCACAAGAGCCGGCGGCACTGAAGGAGAACGAGGAGGTCTCAGACCAGTCTAACCAGTAGCTCCAGCTGCTGACACAGGGGCACGTGAAGGCAGGGGCAGAAATGCCAGGCGGTCAGGCACCGGCACTGAGCGTGGCACTGACGGCCACCCGTCCCCATCGCATGAGGTGCTGCGTGCTCCCGGGGCGGTGGGTGCCGGGGAGCCCCGTGCCATCTGGCAGGCAGCAGGCAGGCTGCCTGCAGCAGTGGTGCCCCACGCAGAAGGGGAATTTGCTAATTCCCAGCCGCCTGTCCATCAGCCCCGGGTGCCCAGTGCCTGAGGGAGCTCCATCCCTCCCAGCTCCAGGCGTTTTGCCCCAAAAGGTGAAGAGCTCCCAGTATTTACCCAGTGGGCAGGGCCGTCCTTGTGCCACCCGGGAGCTGACGTGTCAAACCCTTCTTCCCCTGCCCCGCCTGCTCCCCGCGGGCTGCACCCAGGGTTTGTTGCGCCAGGACAGAGGTTTGGCTGCAGATGGAGCAGCATTACCCAAAGCAGGGAGCGAGGGTCCCACCGGACCCCAGGCATTGAATGCGCAGCCCGAGGGACAGTTTGACCTTGCAAAGGGCACCTCTGCGTCCCCGGCCGGGCAGCTCCGGGCTTAGGGAGGATTTCTTCCCCTGCATCTCCTACATGCCCATAACAGCAAATATAAGCAGCGCCTTGCAGCCCCTGCTACGCATAACCCAGCACCCTGCCTCCAGCACGGGCAGGATCGGCCCCGCTGCCCACGCGCTCACCCAGAAGGTGCCGGCGGCTGCAGGCAGACGCTCCCCAGCTCTTTTCACAGCACAAGGGGAAAAGGGACATAATTAAAGGGCTGAGGATGCACAAAGCGGGCAGCCACGTGCTGCGCTGAATGCTGCCCTCGCCTCTCCAGGCAGCCCGTCACGAGCCCCAGCGAGGGCCACGGCCGACGGCGGGC